TATGGCCTTATTTGTTAAACTTTATTTTTATTGCAGGAAATTTTCTACCCTGTAGGAGAAAAGGGCAGTATAGATTTATATAAAAGTCAATAAGGCATTTGGATTTCTGTGGTAAGCGTTGTTGAATATGTACTGGTTATGGAAAAATTATTCATTTTTAATTTTAGGAACTTTTTAAATATTTTAAATTTTTATTACATTTAGAGAGAGACTGAGAGAGAGCATGTGTGTGTGTGTGTGTGTGTGTGTGTGTGGCATAAGACAACTTACTGGAGTCAGTCTTCTCCTTCTACCATATGGATTTGGGGCCTTAAACTAAAGCCGTCAGCCTTGGCAGCAAGTGCCTCAACCCACTGAGCCATCTTGCCAGCCCAGAGACCTAGTAGTGCTGACACGGCTGCCTCTGACCTCGTTGTTCGGCCCTCCTCACGCCAGGAGGACGCCGAGAAAGGTCCCCATGGCGGGTTACAGGCTTTGGTGTCAGTACGATGGAGCCAGCATCACTGTTTGCAGGTTTGTGAATGGTAGATGTGTGAACCAAATGAGTCAGCGTTGCTGTATGAATCTTCACAGAAATAGCTCACATAGTCGGCGCTGCCAATTCACAAAAAGGGTGGTTTTTACAGCGGAGAGCTAATGCTGTTTATAGGTCCTTATTTTGTGATTGCGATTCCATCTGTGAAAGCTAAACTTTAAAAGAGTGTAAGAAAAATCAGGAACAACTTTTTGTTGCCTTTTAACTACTAGGATGTTACCGAATGGATTAGATTTAGACCTGCAAAGCAGATTTGCTCCACTGTTCCGCACTGGGGTTTAGAATGCTCAGATTCTTGGGTCGCTGGGGCTTAGGCCCTGCTATTAAAATGTAGCTATTTTTGCAATGCTTTGGAATTCACATAAACACTAGGATATTCTGTTTCTGTTCTGGTGTCAGGTCTAAAATTCCTTGTTTTCTCAAAGTTGGCAAAATATTAGAAAAACTTCTCTTAACTGTTCATTTCCTTTCTCTTCTGCATGGTCTGTCTGACTGGTTAGTATTAGTTTATGCGTAATTCGAACGACAGGGTAATAAAAAGTTTTCTCTCAATTTGCTTGAAAATTTGTTCAACTTTGGGTAGCCCAAGGATGCTGAGGTGAAGGTTTGGGCTAGTGTGTCTCTAAGTCTCTATCAATGTTAAACTATGAATTTCTAAGAGGTTCTAAGACCCTGAGAAGAATCAGTCAAAACTTTGTATAGAAAAGACCCCAAATTTGGAGAGATATCTATTATCATTATATTGGTTATAGCCATTTTAATTAATTATTATTGTTGTGGTCAGTGTGTGTGCATGCATGCAGTGGCAGGTGTTTGAAAGTCAGGACAGCTGTAGGAGTTGGCGCGCTTTCTCTCTACCATGTGGGTTCTGGGACTTGAACTCAGATCATCGAGCTTGGCCTCAAGCTCTTCTGTCCGCTGAGCCATGTTGGCAGCTTTCACCCTGACAATTTTTATAAGAAATCAAAGGAGAATTATGGTATAAAGGAATGCTATTTTCTTTATTTGAAAAATTCTCTCTCTTTTTCACAGAGTTAATTTGATTACACAAGTGATTTGAACACTGGTTTCTGAGTTCTTCACTTTGCATTATACATATGAAATCACTGTGACTTTGTCATCAATGTTTCTAATATTTAATAATCATTGGTTTCTCTAAAATTCTAAATTGGTCGGAATACTCAACAAGGTCCAGAAAGAATAGACAAAACAGTAAATAAAAAGTACTTTGTCTGTCTTCTTTCTTTGGTTTGAGTTTTACTTCTTTGAAAACATTTCCTAATTCTGGTGTGTGAAAGTGTAGTTTGGGAATCCCAAGAGCATTGGTTCCTGCATTTCAGCAACATGGACCCTAAAGTTAGGTGGGTCAAGTTTCTGAACTATCACACTGACAGAAAGAGCTGGAGGGACTGGGCACTGTATCCAAGAATTACCTGAGAATTTGTGTATTGAAATCTTTACACTTTAATAAATTAACAAAATACCACTAATTAGTATAATATTCTTAGCCGAAGGGAGAGGGCTTCTTGTAAGTGAGCTGTCTACTCCTCAGGGGCAGTCTTGCCATCAGAATCACTTCAGAGAAACTCTAGAAACACCTGCTTAGGCTACAGCTCAAGTCATTGAGAGAAGTGACTTGGGCTGGTACCCAGGTATTGATAGTTTTGAAAGATGTTTAATTCCAAAGTGCAGCTGGGGTGAGGGTTTTTAATTTATTGGAATATCATAGGTACCCTACTTGTTAGAAGATCAGAATATGTGAGGGTAGGAAGGTGTAGTGGAGATGGCCTTTTATAAGAGAGCTCAGATCGTGTTGGAAGCCCGCCTTTATCAACACCAGATGTGTTAACTTCAACAGGTACTTTACCTGGGTCTGAAATTTCTTTGCAGCTTTTCTATTGAAGTTCAATACTTAATTTCATTATAGTATTTTTGGAGTAGTTTCCTGCACCACATGAAGCATGAACAAATTCAGATATCTATTTTCTTTATTTTGATTCAGGTGGTCATAGGATAAACTTTGAGTCTGATGTTTGTCTAAGGACTTGTCACTGAGAAATTTGGGATTTTGTGAATTTGAAACTTAGTGGGTTGATATCATTATCTTATAAGGAAGAGCCTGCTAAGCATATCACGGCACAAACTGTTCTAGGGTACTGTTAGGCCCACTTAAAAAAATCCAGCTGTTTTGACAATTTACATGGGGGGGGGGCACACTTATCACAGGCAAGTCCAAAAGCAGATCTTGATATGGAGACAAGGCAGACTTGAATAAATGGGGACTGTGGGGGCTGTGACGGTACACTGTCTGGCCAGCAAGCCCCTGGAATCCTCCTCTCTCTGCCTCTCCCTTGCGGTATTTGAGGTACATGCTATTGTTCCCAGTTTGTGTACGGGGTAGCTGGGATTCAGACTCAGGTCATACTTTGTAGCCAACGCAGCAAAGCAAACCCCTTTCCACGGAGCCATCTCCCCAGCTCCAACTCTTCAGACTCCTTGGAGAATTCATGCAGTAAATTATTTTACGGGGGCTGGCTTTTCTCTCCTTTTCTTTTCTTTTTGGAGACAGGTTCTAATTCTGTAGCCCAGATGAGCGTCAGACTCACAGTCTTAGTGCCTCCCTCTCCGGAGTGCTTAGACTGCAGGTGTGCACCGCCACGTCTGGCCCTGTTTGTACTGTCAGCCCCACGTTCCCAGGCCTCACCGTACACAGCAGGCGTGAGACATTGAGTTATGGGAACAAATGAACCAGCCTCATGTCGATGCATTCCCTTGCTGCTTTTAGGTTCCATATGAATGGGAACATGGTTGTCTAACTTTAAAGCCTTTCAAGCTATAACAATGGCATATTCTTCACGTAGAGTCTGACCATTTTGGTGACCCCGAGACCCTTGTTTTTGGCTAATCTTTTTTTTTTTTTTTTTTTTTTTTTTACACTTGGCATTTGTCTGAACTCCAATATTCGTCGTGGAAATGAAGATAAATTCTTCTCTTGACATTCCCTTTTTCCATTAAGTTAAAAATCGTTGCTTCGTAAGTGAGATTCCAAACATCTGGATTTTGATCTTTCCACCATACAGGATGATAGTTTAGCTCTGGCCACATCTGGACCATGCAACCTGATCACATTCTGCACACAGAGTGTCTAACTCAGGTGGTGCAGCCAACCAAGAGCTTGCGGAATGCACTTGAACCCCGTTCTCCTGATATTTTACACGCGGTCGGGGTCTGGGTGTTTTTTTTCCCTCTATTCTCTGATTGTGGACAAATGGGAAAGCTATAATGCCGCTCTCAAAGACCCACAAAGATTCTCTGACTTAATTTCTGTTCTTTGTGGCAGGTAATAGTCTCTCGGATTGCAGACATGCTCTCAAATGGTCTCAACAAGTGCAACCCTTGTCAGGGTTAGCAGAGCTGGGAGACACTGAGAAGCTACACACAGTCTCTCTCCCTCTCCCTCTCTCTGGATTTTTATTTTAGTGGGAAGTTGGAGTTGAAATGACCTGATATTTGATCCGGATCTGCTGCTCTTGTCTGAGCCAGGAATTGGGCCTTGACAGCTGAGGACACTGTGATAGTTGCCATTGCTGGGAACCTGTGATTCTTCCTGACATTCCCCCTATTAGCCATCTACTCTGTGTGAATCCCCTTAATTTCTGTGGGTACTTAAGAGTTCAAGGTGCTATGTATGGCTGTTTATGCGACTGGTTACATTTTGTTATGTAATCTTTCACCCTTAATTGCTTAAAAATATTTATAATGTGTCAAGTTGGAAATTTACTTTCAAAGTCCCATTTAGGTGACTATTATTTTCAAATATGGATTTATACTGTTAAGGGATCCTGTGTTCGGTACAACAGGGATTTGGGTGTGGGCTCCATACTGTTTTATAATCCATCAATGTGGTCTTTCACGCCCAGGATTCTTAGGTCGAGAGCACTGTGCTTTTTCCTGTCTTATATTATGAAATATATTGTGTATATTATATTTTATAATATATACATACACTGTTGTTAACTTTGGCATGAGAGGAATGAATCCTAGAATGGCTTGAATATTTTTGCCACAAAACAAGAAGTTGGAAGTGAAATTTTTGAGCCTTCTCAAGTCGAATTAGATCTCCTAAGTTCAACCTGAGCCTCTGTTGTTGGAATGTGGGCTATGGGAGGCTATCAAGGCTTTGTTTTTTTTTTTTTTTTTTTCAGAATGACTCTTGCAGGGTAAGCAATGGAAGGAAGTACCATGTACCCATTTGTAGGTAGCACTGTGTCATAGGCAGGTGTTAGAGTGTTGCGTGTTGCAAAGCAGGATCAGCCTCACCCAGAAGGCCCTTCTGAGTTCGGTTCCCTGGGCTATCTAGATAATCTTATGGCCTGCACACGGCAGGTGGGGGGCGGTGGCAGGGACTGCTTTTGAGTACCCAGCGAGCGCTGACTGCCTCATGCTTTGTTTCGTGCTTTTTCAGAGTGCAAATTCACCTGCACCAGCGGCAAATGCTTGTATCTTGGTTCACTGGTCTGTAACCAACAGAATGACTGTGGGGACAACAGTGACGAAGAGAACTGTCTTCTGGTGACTGAGCATCCACCTCCAGGCATCTTCAACTGTAAGTCCTCTGACTCAGCCTTGCGACGTTGTGTCTGATGGTGTTTTGAAACGGATGGAAGGTGGAAAGTTACGTTTCCTAGTTACAGGAGAGAGAGGTTTCCTTCTGGGTTGGAAGATGGCGTGTGTAAGATGGAGAACGCCTGCGTTTCTGTAGGTGCTCACTGGTGCGGTGGTTTGTAATTGGTCTTTACTGTTGATCTGAGAAGCCCCAGTTGGTTCCAAGAAAGCAGATACTGTGTTCTTCACAGAGCTTAAGAGACCTTTTTGAATTTATGACTTCAGAAATGATTTTAAGTAAGTGAAGACAGGTCCGTAATTATTCACAAAAATAGAAATATTTACACAAGACTCCTAAAGGTTCTGGTTGTATGCTTTGCTGTTAAATACCAAATGGAAATAAAGCATGTGCCAGGTCTTTACACGTATGACTCTCAAGCTGAGACTCAGAACACTGTCTCATGAAAAAGTGAGATTGGAATCTGAAATTCATTGGTTTTGGATTTCATGATTATTATGACAAGGAAGAGGGAGAATGCAGTTTTGAAACACTCCTGAATTCTGTTAGGAAAAATAGTTTATTATTTCTGGTTTTCCACGAACCAACTGAAGTGGGTTAAGGGGGAGCATCCTTTTGTATCAGCCTACCTAGGGAGAATGCTTGCCATGCTGGTCCTTGCTGTGTTCTGATAGCTGCTTCCCCCAGATCCAGAGCTGACATCAGAGGCTTGGTCTCCAGCCCATGGTACTGTTATGAGGTGGTAAAACCGTAGAGGCCTGGTACCTCCTTAGGGGTGCTCTGCCTTTCATAAAGAGATTTTGGGACCCTGGGTCCTCAGGTTTCTGCTATGTAGCCCAGGCTGGCCTCAAGCTCACAGCAGTTCTCCTGCCTCAGGGTCCTAAGTGTTGAGATTACAAGGTGTGAACTCGCATGCCCTCTTTTCCTGGCTTTCTTGCTGCCATGAAGTGAGCACTTTTGTTCTACAGCTTGCTCTTTGATATCATAAGCTGCCTTGGCAGAGGCCCGGAGGCAAATGGGTCCAGTTGCCCATGGATTTAAAACTGAGATGAGGTAAGCCTTCCCTCTTTTGTTGGTCATTCTGAAGTGTTTGTTCTGGTGATATGAAGCTGAGAGGTGAATTCTCTTCCTTGTTGAAATTAGGAGCGGCGGGGCTGCGTCCCTGGCACCCGGCCACCCGCATGGCTAGTTTATACCCAGAAATAATTACACGGAAACTGTATTCTTTCGAACACTGCCTGGCCCGGCTAGGTCCAGTTTCTTATTGGCTAGCTCTTACATATTGTTCTAACCCATTTCTAATATTCTGTGTAGCCCACGAGCTGGCTTACCAGGGAGGATCTTAACCTGCATCTGTCTGG